GCATAAATTTTTAATTTTGGCACATTTACTGTAAGTAGAAATCATTTTCTATGAAAACACAAATTATTAAGAATTAATGTTTTCTTATATAAAAATCAAATATAAGAATGTTTATCTTGATATAAATGTACATGCAAGAGCTTTATGTGTCTGCCATAGAATTACTGTGCCTTTCCAAATTTAATTGCTAATGCACACTGCTTGTAAAATTGGATGGGCTGCTACTCCAGCCTTAGTCTGTGCCCCATTTTAAGTGATCTACTCCATTATTTAATAACTGAAATTATATTGAGAACAGCCTGAAAAAGTGCATCTACTGTCACTCTGATGTGTTTGACCAAACAAATGTCAATGTAGTTCACAACCTGCTCATACAGCTCCCATGTGCACATTTGTACAAGGTGGCTTGTGGACTCCAGGAGAGAGATTTTTTTAAAAATTGAAAACGTATGTTTTTCTTGTCCATGATCTGAAAAACATGAAGATATTTGTTTCAGAGGGAGAATTTGAGATGTTTAACACATTACAGAATATATTTTTCTCCAAAATGTCAGTTACTTTGTGTTTAATATTTACTGCATTTTAATTAAACAATATTCTGTCATGTCAGGAAAAGTACAGACGGGGTATGATGGGATCAGGGATAATAATTTCAATAGTTTAAAGATAGTGATTTTAACTTGGAAATTCTAGTATTTTTATGAAGTTATTTTGCCTTATCTAGACCAAAAAAAGGAGAACGTGGAGGCTTGCTGTATTTTTCTTGTAATATATTTAGCAACTGCACATTAATACAAATCTCATCACATGAGTGTACAAGTTGAGAAATAAATTATTATTTTAAATTTTTTTCTGAAATTCCCTTTATGTGGTAATTTAAAAGTGCAAGAATCTCTCTAAAATATATTTATTTATTTATTTTAAACAGGAAATAGACCCTGTATGAAGATTATTTATTTATTTTTAATTCTTTTATTGGTACATTTTAGGTATACACTACATTTACATTTATCATTGGGTGCTTTTACCTGTACACGATGTATCTTGGTTCTTAATTTTCCCCCATTACCTGTGTGCCCTTCACGCCCTCCACCCTTCCCTATTTACCTAGATTTCGTCCGTTTTTTTTCTTTTCCCATAATTTTTCCTTTCCCTTCTTTATATTTAAATGTGGAAACTTTCAAGTGTGAGAAGATGCAGAAGAAATTCAGAGTACTGAAGTTTTCATCCTAGGTAACTACATTATGCCTGACAGCATTGTAAAAGACATAAAAATAAAAATTATTTCCAATTCAGAATGTAACACATATTTACTTATTATTGGAAAAAACAAGAGGGCACAAATATTAATAAAATACATTTTCAAATACAAAGTCGACCGTAAGACTGGTAAGCCATGTTTACCACCATTCATCTCTCCCTTCACCTCTCTGTCCTCCCAAAATAAGTAGGTTTTTACACTTCTCCATTTTTGCCTAATATGTACCTTTTTAAAGTATTATAATTTTTTAAAGAATTTATGATCATACTACTGTTCTTGAACATTTAATGTTTTCAAATTTAGATATTAAATGGTACTTCTATTTATATTGATAAGTCTTTCTCTACCAATAAATGTCTGCTGGGTAAGTAAAATATTTGCTTACATCTTCATATTCCCAACCTTAGCTCATGAATGTAGTTTCTATCATCTAATTATACTGTATTTCATATACTTGAAATTTGCTACAATAAATGAATATGTGATTTTGGGGAAAGATGTCTAAAGTAATGTGTTTTGTAAAATTGTAGAAACGGGCTAACGTTTTTCAGAACTGACCCATGGCTTTATGGATCCTTTAGTTGTGCAATCTTAATGTAAGGTAGAAAAGGGCATTGGAATGGGCTCGGGGGCCCTTTTGAAGCCCCTCCTCCTCTGTATGAAACGCTCCTTTTTGTTGGGGAGGAGGTTCCCTGGGGGTTTTCCCATAGGAAACGGGCCACATCTGTAGACCAAAAATCACATATTTTACAGGTCATGAGTCTGAAACCTACAACAGTAACTGTCGTAAAATCAAATTTCTTAATGGTATTAATGCAGCCAAGTCCAATTTCCTGTCGTTTACCAATCCACTCGGCCTTTTCACAGGTTTCCCGTTAGGCATTTCCTAATAAGTATCATATGGAGACAGAGCGGTTCTAGGGTCACATAAGTTTGAAAACACTGGGCTAAACACTTTTTAGTGCAGAATATCTTACAGCCTCAAGCACACTGATGTGCATTAGTGTTTCAGTAGAGTATGTAGCGTGCACTGTTTCCCACCTTACTTCAGCATGGAGCAAAGCCCAGGAGCATGCAGAGCTTCCACTGTCTTTTCCAGCATCCTCTGACGTTATTCACCATTGTACTCTCTGCCTTTATCCATGAATCACAAATAATAAAACCGTATCATTACACATGGAAGTTTACTAAATGTAGCTGTCCCTTATTATGCTTATTACTGATAAATCCTAATTTTTTATGTTTGCCTAAATAATCACATATATCTCATTTACATTATTGAAACCCTAAATTAATGGGCACCAAATTTTAGTTTATACAAGAGCCTCCTAGAGGTGACAGTATCCAGGGCTGGGCTCATCTGCCTCTTTTTTACTGACTAGATCTTCAGACTAACAAGCTGCAATCATCGCTAGGACACTTTCCCAGTGACTGCACTTTGAGAAACCACTGCTTTAAAATTTGTGTGACTTCTTACGAATTCAGTATTTGCTGCTGGGATGGATAACCATTCATTAGTTGGAATTTTCCTTCTGTTCGTGTTACCAATACTGATAGTTTGTTTTAATGGACTCTTACTCAATTCAGGAGAGCCCAGGAATAGAATAGAATGTGAATTTTGAAATGCGTTAAAATCCGTGGCTGAATCCAAAGTAGGAACCTCGAGGATCACTTTGGTCCTTGTATTTATGAAGCACGTCGCCAAGGCATATGAGTTATATTAAATTCGGCAGAACAGTGCTTTGCTCCCTGGTTTCTTTTGTGTTTCTCATCTCCCTTCTTGTCTCTCTCCTCCCTTCTTCACTCTGCCTACCCTGGCTTCTGTTTGAGAAAACAGAATGTTTGATTAGGGAATTTTGCCAAATTTTAGTCTTTCAATATGACTCTGTTCTTCTTTGCAAATTCACTTTGTCAAGAACAACTACATATTTGTGGCTTTCCCGCTATGTTTTCAAACACTTATCAAAGACCCCACACACCTATGTGTCCTTGTACATACACAGAGATTCCTAACTGAACCACAAGCTTCACAAATTGTTCTTCCCCTGGTAAGGAATGTATGCTCATATTTTCTTTTCTTTTTTTTTTGGTACCAGGGATCAAACCCCGGTCCTTGCGCTTGCGAGGCAGGCGGTGGAGCCACTGAGCTAAATCCCCGGCCCCTGTATGCTCATATTTTCTCTGAATAATGTCCCATTTTTAAAAAATAATGTTTCTGAAACAAATCACATCCTCTGGTGTCTTGTTAGTGCTTGAGATGCTTTTTTAAGTTATATGGAAAAATGTTCAAGTGCTTTTCAGTTTTGTTTTGGTTGAGTTCTACTGTATTTGAATATTATTGTAGTTTTTACCCCTTGCATTGTTCTTCTTTGAAGGGTTTTAATTTTTGTATGTGTGTATGTTTGATAATAAAGTTATTTTTAAAAATTTTTTTTAAAGTAATGTGGGTCCGGGAATTTACCTCAGTGGTTCTGCCGCCTGTCTCACAAGCTCAAGGTCCTGAGCGTGATCCACAGTGCCAAAAAAGTAAATAAATGAATAAATAATGTGTTCATGGCCTAGTGAATTGATTTCATTACCTAGTAATGGGTGGTGCCTGGAGTTTTGGAAGCCATTGTTAACAATAAAAATGGTTTGATTGCTCATGTTTGCGTCTAAAGTTCCAGTTTTTCCACCAGAAATATGTGTGTGCATGTCCTCAAATATTTGAGGCTACTAATGTTTTATGTGCTCGTGTAAATTTTCCGTGCTTTATGGAAGGTTGGACACTCAATCCTGCAGACCCACTGACTGCATCCTTGCCGAGTTTATCGGCCACGTCGCTGCCCTTTCTGCTGACCAGTTCCTCTCTCCGCTGTGTCCCTGCCTCTTAGAAGTGCACTTCAAGATGGGATTTTTATGCCATTAATCTTAGTTAAAGGTTGTGAGTTTTTCAGTTTGGTTTTGGAGAGATTGGTTTTGGAATATACAAAATAGGCTCCAGAGTGAAGGAATTGAAAACACAGGTCTAATTTTGTTTTTAAAAATTTAAGTTAAGGAAGGGTTTTTAAAAACTATATTTCAAGTGAATTTCAACTGAGTATCAAAGTAGAGTTCCCAGTAGATGGGAAGTTAATCTTTGACTTCAAAATCCCGTGGGATTTGGTTGAATGGCTATTGATTAAATCTTTGTTCTTACTTCAGGAAAAAAATTGGCTAATGTTAGGATTTAATTGTATTTAGCGTTACAAGAAGTCTCTTTTTTCTTAGTATAATTTCTTTTTTAAAACATTTGTTGGTACATATGATAAGCATAAAGTGCAATGACAATATTTTAATCCTACCTTAGTGACTATTAGTTGTCAAACTATCCTCAACTGCTCAATATAAATTTAAAAACAAAAATTGTGAAATTTGTTTAAGTTGATGCTTTTAATTTGGTTGTATTTTAAGTTGCTTATCCTGTTCTTTAAATGTACACCTTAATATATGTTAAGGGAAAAGCTCTAGGTGATTTCTAAGTGACTCCAACATTAAAGAAATGAGGAGAAAAGTTTGTTATGTGAATACTAGGAGGAGGTAATACGAATGCTATTCTGGAGTGAAAATGTGTGTATCCAGTGCCATCTTGGTATGCTATTGGAAAGTAGTAGATCTACTTTTTGAGGAATAGACATTTAACAAATGAAGAAGTACATGTGACCATATCCAAGTTAGTGTAAATTGTAAAATTGTATCTTACCCATCTTTTCCCTTGCAGTCTGAAAAAAATGACAGTGAGCCAGGCAGCCAGAGGATTAAGCCTGTTTTTGTTGAAGACGCTAATTTTGGAAGACAAATATCCTACCAGCATGCAGCAGTCCATATTCCCACCGACATCTACGAGGGCTGTAAGTAAGAGGGCAGGAACGGCTGCTGGAAGGCTGTACTCTTGCCTGTCGTATGATCCCTGGTTTGAAGCCCAAGGCAGGAGCAGGTGTGAGCTATTTCTATAAGTGGTCTGTGTGTCTCTGAGCGGTGCAGGGTAGCTCTGATGGAGCAGGTATCTAGCATGTGTGAAGCCCTGAGTTTGATCCCCAGCACCGAGAGAAGAAAAAAAACAAAGCCATGTTAAATCTGTGTAAGAAACCAAAACTGATGTTGTGAACAGCGCATGATCCATGCGTCTTGACTACACAAATACCTGTAGGCAGGTCTGCATCACCAGGAGGAGGGACAGTGCCCCGGGACCCAGGGTGTGGGCTCTCCCAGCCCTGCGCTGGTGTTGGACCCACTGTTCCCATGCCCTGTGCCCTCCTATGCACTGCACGCTGCCTCCTACCATGGGGAAGAGCCAGAAAGACCCGCTGGAGGGTGTAAAATATGTTTCTTCTATTCCCTGAAGCAGACGGGCTGTGGAATAGATCTGGCATCCAGAGTATGCCCAGGATGTCTGGGTTCTGGAGCTGGGGTTCAAATCCCTATCATTTCCTTCACCAAATTCTGCAATTTTCTGGGCAAGCATTTTCTCGTCTGTAAAGTGAGTTGAGATTACTAACCTGAAATAACACTGAAGATGAAATCAGTTCATGTATATAAGTTATCTATATGGTACCACATTCAGAGTATGTGTCTGTGTTGGTTGTTACTATAACATTTATTGAGGCACAAAAGATTAAGTAAATAGACTTTATAAATTAGCTTCCATGTGTAGTTTCATTTGGATTATTTGTTTAAAAAGAACATTTAAATGCATGAATGACTCTTTGTATAACAGATTTCATCTTTCATAGTTATTTTATTCATTCTATTCTTGCTGTCTCTCTCCCTCCCTCTCTGTCTCTCTGCTAGGAATTCAACCCAAGACCTTGCACATGCTACTCAAGCACTCTATTACTGAGCAACATGCCCCATCTTTTTCTGCTCTTATTAAAGACACCTACTATTTTCAAATAATTGATTTTTGAAAGATTTTTAACATACAGTTTTCTCTATCAGAAACCAACTCGTGTATATATGTAGAATATAATTTACCTCTTTACAATCAAACTCACAGAATTACTTCCAAGGACTTTTTGGAAGCACATGAGATTTAAATCAAGACATAGCTTTTAAAATTTGTTTGATCTCTTTCTAGTTTTCACTAATTATTTTAGTATTTACAATAATATTTGTATCTATTGTGATAACTATTCCACTGCTACTAATCTATGTAGTGCTATTTCTCAATTAAAAAAATAGTTTTAGTTCCAAATTTTCTGACACCTATGTTTTGATGGGTTTGTCAACAAATAATATTGCTTATTACTCATCTGTCTATTGCATTCACAGTGGAATAGACTGGCATGGTCGGATGTGGCTTGAGACAAAATTCATTTCATCTTTGGTTGTTTTTTTTTTTTGGTACCAGGGATCAAACTCGGGACCTTGTGCTTGCAAGGCAGGTGCCAGAACCACTGAGCTAAATCCCCGGCCCCATCTTTGTTTAATACAAATATTTACATGGAAGGTTTGTATGGAAAGTAAATTAAAGCCAAAACCACTGTTATGAAAACAAAGAAGGCATGACCCTGCCTGTTTACCTCTTTGTTCCTTGGAGGGAGACTAGGTACTGGTCATCAAGATATGTTCTCTGTGCAAATTCATAGATTTTTTTAAAATTCAGGCACCAGAATTGTCCACAGGAAGTGTAAGATACTTCGAAGAGAATCCTCATTTTCTTATTCTTTTCCTCTTTTACTGTTTTTTAGTTGACACCACATTCATCATTAAAGTCTTAATGTATTTTGTACTAGTACAGACATGAAATCCAACACATAAAGGAAATTCAAACACTTTTTAAAAAAATATATTAATTTTTATATAGCACACACATTTTTCAGTGTCCTATGTGAGTTTTGAGTGTAAATGCTTTTCTTTCCAATTTAGAATAAATTATTTGTAAGCATTTGTAGGGAATAATTTACATTGTTATAGGGAGTCAAAACTACTACTATGAAAACCAATGTAAAATATTTAAACATATGTTTTTAGATGCTATAAGATACTGTTTGAAATATTTTAAACTTTTAAAATAAGAAAAAGAAGCTCTGTCTTTGGATTATTGGTTAGCCCTATTTTGTCTTGATATTGGCGTCTTCCTCAGCTGAAATCTCATCAGTGAGATTCTGATCTGTGAGGCCCAAGCCCCTTGCAAATCCATACTCAGCATCATGGGCTGCACATGCATAAATGGCAGAAGGAAAACCAGAAATGTCAACAGGATCTGGAAAATTTTGTAATTACCAGTGTTCTTCAGGCGGTGCGTTGGGACAGATCAGATTCAGAAGGTTGTTCTAGGTTTCTGAGTTTAATGAATATGAAACTGCACTTTAATTGAAGGCTTAGCTAAGGAAATCAGCCTGTGCTTTCTCAGAGGACAGATGTGTAGCTGCACCCTCAGAAGAAATCTTGTGTTCAGATTTCCCAAAGGTGATTACTTTTTGAAATCTCTTGAACTGAAGTGTGATTATTTGTGCTCAGTGATCTATTTAAAGCTTTAAAAATAACATATTTAATTGGAACACCATCTGAAAGCTCCCTTTTTTTTTTTTTTTTTTGGTACCAGGGATCAAACTCGGGTCCTTGCGCTTGCACAGCAGGCAGTGAAACCACTGAGCTAAATCCCCGGCCTGAAAGCTCCCATTTTTGAAAATTTCATTAGCACTACTTTTAATTTTGAGGACACCTGAACCATACTTAAATTAAAGATCTCATTTATCTGTGAGTGCAGAAAATAATCATGCAATTCAGGAAAAACAAGGAATGAATATTCTGATGTAGTTTGCTTTTATTCACAGAATTTTATTAATTTTTGAATACTTTCAGATGTAAGTTTAGGGAGTGCTTTTGTACAATATTCTGTAGTCGTTCTCAATAGAACTTGTATATTACTCAATGGCTAATTCCAGAAAAATATACCTTAATAAGGGAAAATAATAAAAATGAGCCCAAATTTCCCCAGAGCTTTCAGGTAACAGATAATTTTGTCCTTCCACTTAACCTTACTGTAATGCAGTAAGGATGCAGTACTCTCATTTTAGAAATAATATAAGCAAGCATATTTTGATTTCAAACACATATTCATTTTAATAAGACAGGAAAGTTTCAGGAATTGTATTTTGAAGTGTCATTTACCTTACTAAAATCACTTGCTGTTTGTAAACTTAATTAACAGACAATAACACTTCCATTGTAATGTACCCTGATGCACATTAGTCTATTGCATCTTAAAGTTGTTAAGGTTTAACTTAGGAAGGAAAAAGCGGCTTGCCAACTTTGCTGACAAACGTGTACATAGCCCTTCATATTCTTCTGTAAGTTTTAGAAGCCAGTCTCTCCAAACTGCTATATATGCACCATTTTCTTGTGGAGCACTAAGCTAACAGTCTATATTTACCTGTTTAAACAACTTGTTTAATTTCATTATTCTAACAAGTAACAATAATATACCTTTTACAGAATGAAAAGGGTAAAATCTAATTTGATTGACAAGCTTAATGGCAAACATGCTCTCGCCAGCTCTGATATGCAAAGGCAGATGAGAGCAATCCTTTCTAAGATAGTTAGTGTTCTTGGGCCAAAAAAGTATTACAATAGACTTTATCAGTACATTAATCAATCTTTAAAATACAGAGATATTTCTCAAGTGAGAAACAAAAATGTTAAATATAAGATGTATAACTATTTTGGAGATAAAATTACAAAAGAATGCTTACAAATTTACAACAAAACATTAAAAAAGGATAAGAATGCATGGTCAAAATAATCAAGATGGACTTAATGGTAAGCCAGTGAGAATAGAATAAATTGGAATCGTTTTCAAATTTTTTTTATCAAAAAATCCATTTATTTTGAGTAATTTCTATAAAACCTTCAGAGAACTACTTTCAAGTTGTTAAAATTTTACTATAATACAGAAGAAATGTGAAGTCCATAAATTTATATCACTTCCTATACAAAAATAAAAACAGTACAAAAAAAGAAAAAAGATAACCATAAGCCAATCTCATTATAGAGGGTAAAAAAATCCAAAGGAAAACATTTACAAAGCAAGCGATGTATTAAAATAATAATGTGTGGAGTCAAAATAACTGAACTAACATTTGAGTATTTTAGATGGCTAATAATATTACTAAATTCTATACCAACGGGTCAGATTGAGTATTGTCTAGTCTTACTCTCACTTTTAGATTAAAATCTATTCAAAATACCACTACCTACAGAAAAATTAAGAAGTTACTTTAATAATTTTTAAAAGAAATCCATAGCTGATATCATTCATATTAGCCTTAACCTCTTGTAAGTCAGAAATAATCAGGGATGGCAGCCACTCTGTGTACAACAGTATGGTGGGGACGCTACACAATCTAATAAGCCAAGCAGTAGAGGTAAGTCACAGATATTGGTGTGTAAGAACTGAAACTATCTAAAAGTTCTAAAGAAAGAAGCTAAAACACTTTTGCAGAATTAAGATAGTTTACCAAGGCTACTATATATAAGGCTGATATTAAGAAATCCATCTATGTATTTCCTGCATATTATCAGTAAGTGGTCATATAATATGGAATAGAAGAATAGGCTCTTTCACAGCAGCCATGGGAGTGATTAAAAGGTTATATGTGGGATTGAAACAATGTACATAAAGTGTACTTTTAACACTTTGCAAAAGTAGTGCACATTTATGTGCAATTAAATTATTGATTTAATTATATAAATTGATCGATTTCTCAAACACTGGTAGTTACTATGTTAAATCAGTTGGGCTTTTTTAAATGATTTGTTATTTTTGAAGATTATTTGTACCTAATAATTCTTGTGCTTGCCACGCAGGCATGGCGCCACTGAGCTGAATCCCCAGCCCTGTACCTAG